GTCATTGTTTGAAAGTTAATATTGTGCCATTTTTATTTAGAGATTGTAGATTGGTCAACGTTACGTTGTTTTAATTGTGCTTTATAATTAAATAAACAAACACAATCATCAATGACTTATTAATGATTTCATTGTTTACATTTTTTTAGGATGGTGAAAACATTCTGGACTCGTTGACCGGTCTGCCTCATCCGGACGATGTGTTGATGTTCGCGGTGCCGGTTTGTGCTCCTTACATGGCGCTCTCCAACTACAAGTATGTTTTCAAGATGCACTGAACAGATCAGCACAAGAGCTAATAATAACAACATCACCTCTCAGAGCAGAATCATCGAATAAAAACCAGTGCTTCACTCTCAACTATCTGTCTTGACTCCAGGTACAAAGTGAAATTAACTCCAGGCACTCAGAAAAAGGGGAAAGGTAAAGATCGTCTTAATGTAGAACTTCAATGCTATAAATCCGTATGTAAATATACTAAGCGTGATCTGTGTCTGCAGCGGCCCGCACCGCCGTGCTGAGCTTCATGCGCGGGAAAGACGCCAGCGCTCGAGAGAAGGATCTCTTCAGGAGCATAAAGGTATTTGAAGCAGATGGTTCATGAATCTTGAGCGTTGAACTGAAGGTGTGTGTGATGTAACGCTGCTGTTTTACAGGACACTGATCTGTCCAGAAACATGCCTGGTAAAGTCAAGGTTTCTGCACCAAACCTGTTAGCAGCAAAGAAGAAGTGAAGCTGTGGCTGCTGGATGATTTCGGCTGAGAGGCACTGAGCACATCCCACAATGCTTTCAGTCGCCTTCTGGAAGACTGAATATTTACATTATATTGTATACCAGAGAACAGTTTAAGCTTCAAGTTTGTTGGTTTTTTCCCTCATCAATTAATTGCATTTAATAATAAATAAATAAAAATAATTATATAAATGTGAATGTTCCACCATTTATTTTCCATGTTGGAAAAAAACGATACAAAATGTAGGCTTCGTTACAAATCTGCATCAGGATTAGAGTTGTGCTGAATCATGAGAATTTGTCAGATAATCTTGAAGAGATTCAGTACATTTGTGAAGTGGGCTGACAGACCGATATCTAATAACAGCTGATTTCATTCAGAAAGTGCTGATTGTTTGGTTACAGTTAGGAAATTGTTACAAACTGTAACACTCTGGCGACAAAAAAAGACCATTAACCAGTGTTTGACGTTTTTAATGCAGATGTGGTATTAATGAATGTAGGTGAAACTGCTAGAATCAAATCGGGCATGGTTTTTGCTCTGTCCAGTGGAATAAATGTTTTTTCTGCTACACTCTTAAATGACATTGCCTTTCCCAGTCCGTATGAGATGAGACACTAACCCATCATAAAAGTCTCGTTTTTTTCCACAGAGATCCATCCTCTTGTTCTCATCTGACTGTGATTGTCTTCTAGGAATCTGCCACAGTTCTCTGTTTGAGCCGAAGGAGCAGGGCTTTGGGCAGAACGTCCCACATGTGCTCCAGTCGCTTCTGGTGCAGGACAGCCACGTCGAAACACAACCTGGACACGGCACAATCAAACTTTAGAGAGGATCCAGGACAGTAAGTGTGACGCTTCGGAGAAATCACTCACCTCACCAGCGATTTGGGCTGAACAGTGAAAAGCAGTAATTCGTTGGTATGAGCCTGTCAATACAAGTGGAAGAAAGAACCGTAGCTGAGTGGATTCAGACGGACGCTTCGAGTAAAGACAGCAGTAAGACTGAGAAAACATCCAGGGTTTAAAGTGATTGATCCTAAATCTGTAAACTGTTCTACGTTGAAACTGTCTTGGGTGTCTGTCTCAAAACTACAAGTGAACATTATTAACTACAGAGCATTTGTTTTCTACTCTAATGCATCAGTAGCATTTTGCTAATTATAAGGGAGTAGATATTGATGTTTTGCTCACGGCCTGTTGGTGAGAGAGAAGATTATTGGCGCATCCTCCGAACACGAACACTTCCCCATCAGGACCTAAACACGCCGTGTGCCACAGTCTGCAGAAAACACAGACATCAGCATCAGAGACGGCAAACACAGCCGGTGAACGAGACGAGTGTCAGACGCACCTGGGCCGCTCTGTGTGCTCGTGTTTAAACGGTTTCCACTCGTTCTTACCGACGCAGTACAGCCAGGCATCGCCTGCAAAACAAACACTGATGAAACGCTTGTGTTTTCAGGGACGGGTGAAGCTGCGTCACATCTGCGTCACTCACTCAGTGTTTCTCTGTCAGTAGTGAAGCCGCCGAACAGAAAGAGATGATCCGCTGACACCGGAGTGAAGGAGTGCCACGAGCGGCCGACAGGACCGTGCTGAGGAACACACCTAGAACAAACACAAGCTTATCCAGCACATCCCAGAGAGGAACGTTTCAATCAGGATTCATCAGCTAGGAACACACTGAACGTACATCTCACTCCATTCCCACGTGTCCATGTTGATGCAGTACAGATCGTTCAGCCGATGATCCTGTGGTGCAGAAGATTCAGCTTTTGAACACAAATCATGCTTAAAGCAGGGCTGTACGTTAACTTTTTTTTCACATAGCACTGGTGCTACAGAGGTTGAAAGTTTTGTAGCACTACATTGTAGCAAAGTGTCATTTCTTCAGTGTTGTCACATGAAAAGATATAATAAAATATTTACAAAAATGTGAGGGGTGTACTCACTTCTGTGACACAAACACAAGTAATGGAGTTCATCACTTAAACAGGCACTGATGTTCCATACAGAGCACAAAAAATACAAACCATCACAAAAATAGTTTTTAGACAAAGTTTTCTTAATTTGCTAAAAATGGAAGAGTGCAGAAACATAACACCTCTTACACCTAAACAAAATATAAAATAAAAAAGAATGGCAGACATTTAGGCCAAAGTGAGCAAAGAAAAACATATTTGTCATTATTTTATATTTGTTATTAGAAAATAAGAAAGATATACATTACAAATACACATAATATACAAATAAAACAAACAGTGCTTCATTTTTCAGGTACAGTATTTAGCAGTAACATTCAAGAAATTGAATGAACAACTCACTCACACACACACACACATTCACACACTCACTCACTCTCACACACACTCACACACTCACCATGTAACGGCCTCCGAAGACGTAACCTCTGTTTCCGATGCTGGCGCAGGCGTGAGCGGCTCGTGGTGACGGAGCGTCTCCCTGTACAGACACACAGCATTTGAACCGGATCACATGAGTTCTACACCATCATACATGATTTACAGGTTTAAGACCTTTGTGATGGGTTGGCTCCACGCTGCCGTCTCCAGATCCAGAATGTGTATGTGATTGTTCCAGCCTCGTCCTGCGTGGTTGCCCTGAAAAACAGCACATCCCATTTCTCATCAGTCGTGTCACAGGTGACTGCTGGTGAAGAAGACGGACTCACCATGAATGAATTTTCATCGAGTGCAAATGTTCCTCTGTGACCGGGCTGCGCTATGTAGCCGTAGCCACCGAAATACGCCAGCCTGTGGAAACAGACCACAAACAGCTGGAGCAAAGTCATGGCATCTCGCTAATAAGATCATCTCATGGTTCGACCGTCTCAGACGCTCCATAGAGCTGTTTGAGGAGCACGTACTGGTTTCTGTAAACCCAGCAGCCCAGCTTGTCTTTGCAGGTCGGCGCCAGACCCGTCAGATCACTCATCTTCTCCCAGCGGAGCACAGACGCTCTCAGCGGCAGACGGTAGACCTGCAGGACACGAGTCGACGAAGCAAAAACCGACATTGGTAGCTCTCTGAGACTCACAGCTGCCTCTAGTGTCTCGCTTTAGAAGAAGGACTCACCAGATTAGTGTTTCCTCGGGCCTGATGTCCGCCGAACAGATAGAGAACGCCGTCCACACACGAGCCGCAGCTGCCCGACATCGAGTTCGGCACATCGCCCTCCGAACGCTTCATTCTCCTGCAAAATAACACACTGTTAGCGGCGTTAAACTCTCATGTGTTCAGCTCGTGTGACAGCAGAGTGGTTTACCATCTTCCCGTCTCCATGTTGTATATCCAGATTTCATTCTTCGGTAAATACAAGTCTGTGAATTCAGCCGCTTCAATATCTGCATTCTGATAAAACGACAGTGATAATATAAAGATCTCTTTACACAGTGACCTTCAAAACAGTACAGATGTTCAGTTAGATGTGAAAGTGTGACGAACAGGTTGATGCAAGTATGACGGACCTTAAATATGAATAAATACACACCTTGTATCCTCCCCATATGAACATGCAGCTGCCGTCAGTGACAGCGATGTGGCCGCTGCGCTCCGCTGGACTCTCTCTGGACACAAACACCTCCTGCTCCTGCAGCCAGTCCAACTCATCTTCATCATCCTCATCCTCCATGTTTGGTACAGGATCTTCCTCCATGGCTGACAGTCACTAGAGTGAGATGTACGTGTTACTGATGAAACATCTATTTAACGTTCAGCACATCATTCATTCATCTGCAGATTGCTTTACAGATGTCAACACACACACACACATACACTCTTATAGCAATCCCACAAGAACAGAAAGTCCATGTCCGATGTTTTCCGTGTATTTACAATATAACTCCTCTACAGAGTTTCATATGGTCAGTGTATGTTACACATGTCATCTTCAGCACAGATTAAATCACTCTTTGAATGGATAAATAGTCAGTAGTGTTGATCAAATCGAGAGAGTCTTCAGTAATCAGATCGTGTTGTTTTGGTAAAGCAGCTGATGCGCGCTCGCCTCTACAGAATAATGACAGAAAACTACTCACACGAATGAAAACTAGTACTGCTGTCGCTTCTGTGGGTTACACGAATGAGTCATGGAAAGTAGCTTGTGATGAGCAGCGCTGCTCGCATGAATTAAAACTCTTTTTATGCAGAACGGCCTCACCGGAAATATCTTGTGGTAAAGTTTCGCCGCCATATTAGTGAGGTCAGTCCGTCAGTGTTCACTGCGCATGCGCGGAGCGCAGAAGCGCGCGTTACGCAACAGCCTGAACACGAAACCGTCGTTAAAAGGGTTAAAGAGTGTTTTTTAAAACTTTAACCGCGTTATGCTTCCAGGTGAGTTATTTTAATCATTCCATGTGAGTTTGGTCTTACTATGGATCTGCTGGTTTGCTAATTAATCGATTCGAACGGAAGAACAGAGCAGCGCGAGCGCCTCAGAACTTCGGGTTCGTTTAATATTTTGTATGTTTTTTCAGTCAGAGCTTATTTACCAAGCAAATAACGACTAAACAGTTAGTCTCCGTAACTAGATACCAATCCAGTATTCACACACGGTAAGTTTGTCGTGTTGTCGATGTTTAATGAAGAAATCCATTGTTTTTTATGCAAAACATCCGACCGTATTATGATCGTGAGACTAACGTTAACCCAAACCGAACTAACGCGGACTCCGACCTCGATGTGTCCGTCGGTGCTGTTCCACAGGCAGGTCGTGTGGTGGTCAGTATGAGGCTGCAGTGTGATGTGGAGGTCGTTAACCGCGCTTTACCGTCGCTCGGGCTACGGAGTACCGGCAGATCCCGCCGCGCGCTTCTATCCATCGGGACACACGCGGACCGGAGCTCGCCGAGCGGCAGCCCGTATCTGCTCATCTGCACCGCCAGAGACCGCAGCGGGTCCAGATACAAGGCAGGCTTCTCTCCGTAACCTTCCTCTCATGGCTGCTGCGGCAGATATCGATCAGCTCCTGACTCTGTGTGTGTTTCTCTGCAGCTGAAGGACAACATCGAGAAGTTCTTCACCTGGTTCGTGGAAGAAGGCAAAGCCACGGTTCGGCTGAAGGAGCCTGCGATAGACATCTGTCTGAGTAAAGTAAAGACGTGCTTTCATTTCTGCTGGAGAAAAGTTGTTTAAATAAATGCATCTGCATCATACAGTCCATCCAAAGTGCAGTTATTATAGTGTTTTGGTAGTTTTGAAGCCAGCAAACTGATATTAGGCATAATGGCGGCTGATAAAAGATATAAGCTAAGGATATTGATTGGCACTTTCTGTGAGTCTGTATGTATTCTCTGTCTGAGTCAGCTACTTTCTAAAATCATGGGAATCCCATTTAAAGTTTTACATTTCTTTCATAGCTAGAGCGAGCATCTCTGCCAGTCTTTAGCTGCAAATATAATACCATTATAATCTAGATCAGGCGTGCCCAAACTGGGTCCTGGAGAGTTTAGCTGCAACCAGCTCCGAAACACCTGCCTATAAGTTTCTAGTATGCCTAGTAAGAGCTTGATTAGCTGCTTCAGGTGTGTTTAATTGGGGTTGGATCTAAACTCTGCAGGACACCGGCCCTCCAGGACCCAGTTTGGGCACCCCTGATCTACACTGATATCTACTTTTTTGTCACTGCTGATTCCTGCTTTACTTAAACTCGATATCTGCTGGTCGACGGTGATTCGCAGTAGCCTGACCTGATTCTCAGATGTCGGGGGAATATCTGCTGGCGTCGCTCTAGTTCCTGCACAGACCTGGTTTTGCATAAATAGAATATTGATGCTATTAAAAAGCTGAAGATACGGACGATGTCCATGATGGTTTGTGTGTGTGTGTGTGTGTGTGTGTGTGTGTGTGTGTCATACAGGCTGACAGCAGCAGCTTGAAGAGCTTCCTCTCCGCCGCTCGGCTGGCTCACAGAGGAAGTGACACGGACTCGCTCCCGCTGTCGTCCCTCGGCCCGGCCCGTGCCCGTGATGTGGAGAAACCCAAGAAGAAGCTCAGCATTCTGTCCAAGAAGGACTATCCGCTCACGTCCAGCTTCCCGCACTCTCTGGAGCAGCTGCAGGTGTCGTACTGCAGACTGACCCGTGTGGACCTACGCATGCTGTCGCTGCGAGCGCTGCGCCGGCTGGATCTCAGCAACAACCACATCAAGAAGCTGCCCTCCACCATCGGCGACCTGAGCTGCCTCGCCGAGCTGATTCTCCACAACAACCACCTGGAGAGCTTCAGCGACGGCCTGTGCTCCTCGACCCTGCAGACGTCACTCCAGCATCTGGACCTGAGTCAGAACCAGCTGCAGGTCCTGCCCGCTCGCTTCTGTCAGCTGCAGCAGCTGGTCAACCTCAAGCTGGACCAGAACAAGCTCCTGCGGCTGCCTTTCCACATCGGCCGGCTCTCCAAGCTGCGCTTCCTGTCCGCCGCTCACAACCAGCTCACCGTACTTCCTGCCAGCTTCAGAAAGCTGTGCCTGGAGAACCTGGACCTGTTTGGAAACCCGTTTACACAAGCCAATGCTCTGGAGCACACGATCCGGCTCACGTTCCCGCTGAGGCTGCAGGAGCTAGCGTCCCGCGCCGTGGTGGAGCTCAGGTGAGGCCCGTTCCGCTGCTTTGACAGACGCCAGTCTGCTGATGTCACGCTGTGTTGCTAACGCTGTTCTTGTCTTGTTCTCCGTGGCAGAATCCCACACGGCCCTCACTCCGTGCCGCTGCACCTGTGTCACCAGCTGGACTTCTCTCAAGCCTGCGACTGCGGCCGGGCCTGTGTGGACTCCTACATCCAGACGGCCGTCAGCTTCAACCTGCACCTGGTGTCTCACACCGTAGTGTTAGTGGACAACATGGGCGGCACCGAGGCTCCGGTGCAGAAGCACTTCTGCTCGCTCATGTGTTACTGTGAGTTCATGGACGGCTGCGTGCAGCGTGACCTCAGATGACGACGCGAGGATCGCACTCTCGTGTGGTTTAGTGGCAATGTATGAGCGTCACAAGCGAGCACTGCTCGGTGTTTCAGTGTTTGTTCTCTTTTAGCTCGATGTTTAAGGGTTTGTTCACTGGACAGTTTTGTGCAAAAGACCTTTAAACTCCAGCATCACAACATATATTTTGTGAAATAAATAAAAGTCATTAAAACAAAAGTTTGAGCTGTCAAAGAAATTATTGAATGATTTCACATGACAGGCTTTTCTGTATTTTTTTATTTTTTTTTATTTCAATCAAGCTTTATTTCATTTCCCCCCAAAAGGTCAATCTCTGTTTTAAGTAGATTTCTGAACAAAACAGAACAAAGATTTTTATTTTACTCTACATTTAAACATTCAACTTGAGTGAACTAAAACGAAAACTAAATAAATGACACGTCATGACTATAAAACCCTAATAATGCGATATCACACTATCAGTTAGCTAAGGTCCAAATCAGACCACAGAGAGTTCTGGAAGCACAAGGCGGCCGAGGTCTTGTGAGTGCAGATGAAGACGTGTCTGCCGTCGGGCTCGGTCTCTCTCGGGATGACACCGTTAGCAGCCGCTGGTTCCTCCAATCGCTCCGTTGTGCTCTCGTGGTCTTCTGAGGAACGTCTCGTCTTTGGCTCAGTGTCCTGAGAAGCGCTCCGATCCTCCTCGTGATTCAGCTGCTGGTTAGCTGAGCTGCTGGATTGCTGGTTTATTAGTGCATTATTATCTGTCGTCAGCGGCTGGTGTGGAACTAATGCATTAGCGTCACTCGCTGTGTTCGACTCAAACACCTGTGTGTGTTCTGTCTCCAGAGCGCCGCTCACTTCATGGATGTCTTCATCTCGACCGTTTGCCGTCACGCGGGTTTGGATTTCAGCTTCGCTGGAAAACTTCCACAGAACAAGAGTAACAATTACACATTAGTATCAGTAATATCTATAGTATATCACATCCACTGCATTACTAGTGAATTTGATAGCTTGATATTAAATGCACAAAGATGAAAGTTTTATATAAAAGCTCAGTCACGTACTGTATTTGATGAAGAGTCGACCGGTCGATTGATGTTAATTCCATCTTCATTGTTCATTTCTACAGAGCAGATGAGATATAAATGATCTGGTTCCTGCGGTTCTGTTCGGTTCACAGCTGGATTGACGAGTGTCTGTGGTTCTGTCGTTAAATCGATTAACTGAGGTTCAGATGCGAAAGGAAAACTGGTTTCTGGCTCATGCTGTAGTCCAGCTGTATCGCATGCTGAGGTCTCAGGAACCTGATCTGCTGCATCATCCTCATCCTCACCGCTACCCTTCATCTCATCACATCTGATCTGGTGTAATGCTGTGCTCCTCACTGGCTGAACGGGAAGAGTGATCGTCAGCTGTTTCTTCGTTTTGTTGAACTTCGCATCTCCTTTATCTTCATCCACAGGGTACGAGAGCGGAAGATCTAGTTTATACGCTGGTTTCTGAGACTCCAGGACGAGCCGGCGCTCCTGCACGCTCACCTCAGCGTCCTGCGCAGATCTCAGCAGCGGTAGATCAACAGTGATGATGATCTCTCTGGGTCGGGCCCCGGGCCCCGAGTCTCTGGAGCACCTGTAATCCTGCAGATCGACGACTGACCGGTACTTTACGGTGTAATGTGGTTTTGTGGGCTGATTGGATGAAGATCTTGAGTCCTCAGGATCTGGAGGAGCGGCACAGGAGGCTCCTGGTTCTGGTTCTGGATCACTGGTGCTCTGCTGCTGCTCTGCAGGAATCGGCCTGCGGATCACAGCCGCCTGAGGAACACCTTTATACTTCATCTTCAGCTGCTTTATATTACTTGTATCCAGCTCGATGTGGAACGCGTCCTCGATGCCTCGGATGGCTGTGCTGTGGAGGAGCTGCAGCAGTCTCGTGCTGTCTTCCGCCGCGTGAAGCGCGTCTGGATGGAAAATGACGTCATAGATCATGCACCTGCTCCCGGCGGCGTCTCGGTCCGGTCTGCCCGGTGTCAGGCTGAACGGTAGACGCCAGTTGTAGCCCGCTTTCCCGTCTCGGCCTGTGGCCGCTTCGCTCGAGGGTTTATCGATCAGCTGATCGGAGCAGATATTGATGAAGCGCTTCTCGCCTGCGCCGCGGGTTTTCAGCACGTGATGAGCTTCAGGGTGAATAAACTGCACGTTCGTGCCTCTGTCCTTCTCCAGCTGCGTGATCTCCTCCTCGTATCTTCTCTTGTTCTCGGGGTTTGAGATCTCGGCCGCATATTCGTTCAGTAACTCGCGGAACTTCTCGTCTTTTAGAGCTTCGCCGAATCGATTTAGTTCATCACGTGTCAAATTAATTTCTTCGAGTTTGCTAAAATCCATTGTGAACCGTTAACTGTAAGTTACTAGTTTCCGAAGACCAGACAGTATTGAGCGCTTTTCACTGAACTGCGCGGAGTAACGAGGACTCGGTAACCATAGTAACCTGCCACAGCAGCCGGGAGCGCGCACGCTGTCCAGACGCTCTTCGCGTGAGCGCGCAGCTCGCTAATCTAATGGAGCTGGTTTCTGCTTCCAGAGACACACCAGTCCATCACCATCAGCTGAACAGAAGGGGAAAGAGGCGAGTCGTTTAAGATTCAATTGATATTTATATAGTTCCCAGAAGGAAACACAAGCTACATTTGCATTAGGTTATAAACACGTGTTTCAGCACTTATAAAGTGAAAAAAGTGACGTGACATTTGGCCAAGTATGGTGACCCATACTCGGAATTAGTGCTCTGCATTTATCCCATCCAAAGTGCACACACACAGCAGTGAACACACACACACCGTGAACACACACCCGGAGCAGTGGGCAGCCATTTATGCTGCGGCGCCCGAGGAGCAGTTGGGGGTTCGGTGCCTTGCTCAAGGGCACCTCAGTCGTGGTATTGAAGGTGGGAGAGAGCGCTGTACATTCACTCCCCCCACCTACAATCCCTGCCGGTACGAGACTCGAACCCACAACCTTTGGGTTACGAGTCCGACTCTCTAACCATTAGGCCACGACTTCCCCCTTATACACAAAACAGTAAAATAAAAATCGTTTCAAATGTTCAAATCTTGAATGTAGATCTTTAAACAATATTAAACAAACCTTTTTCAGATGTGCAGTATTTTATTTTAAAGGTGACGTATCATGAAAATCTGACTTTTCCAGGGTTTAAGTGCTATAATCAGGTCTCCGGTGCATCTACCAACCAAGCAAACCTGAAAAAGATGAACCCAGTAACTTTGTTTTGGGAAGCCTTTTTCTGCAAGCGTCTGAGAAAACCAGCGCGTCTGATGACGTGGCTCTCATTATAATATCACCGCCCCTTAATCTGTACATGGCACCGTCGTTGTGTTTTCACAAGCGACAGCGGTGTAGCAGCTCTAATGCCATGACGAAAGTTTTAGCAAAGCATGCTACTGTTCTGTGTTTGGCTGCACAGATGAGCACAGAACACTGTTTAGAGTCCCAGCCTCCGACGAGACAACAGAGCAGTGCATTTATTGATTTATTTACTGTTTATTGCTGCTGCCACACAGATCTAAAATAAACATGCGATTTATTTCCCAGCTGTTTACCTTCACAGACATAACCCACTGTTTTTGTAACTCGTGTGTTTTTAACGTAAACTTGTGTGTGAATGAGAACTTAGTTTAGTACAGCCGCTTTCTGTCCGTGTGCTTTGGATGTGTGCTCTCAGAAAACCATATATCAGAAGTTTAAACTCATATGGCTTAAAACATATGATTTCAGCAAGATAAACATGATAATCAGAACCAAAACAGATGTTTTTTTAGCAGGTACAAGCTGTAATGGCT